CCTGCAGTTTTCGTCGTCATACCACCCGCAAACCGACGGACAGACGGAACGGACAAATCAGACCATGGAGCAACTGATTCGCACCAACTGCCCAGATATCCGCAAGTGGGAGGATTCGCTGCCGATGCTGGAATTCGCGTACAACAACGCCCCTTCGGCCACGACTCGCCAATCACCCTTTTTTCTTCCTAAATTACGGGATAGACCCCGTGGTACCCTCTTCAACGACAGTGGACAACCCGGTACCACGCTCGCAACAGTTTGTCACAGAACTGCAGACAGCCCGCACAAAAGCCGCTGATTTCATCCGACGGGCTAATACCATGGCCAGCCGCCAGGCGGACAAGCATCGACGGAATTTACCCTTCCGCGCAGGGCAGGTTGTACTCTTGGACACCAAGAATCTTCTCTTGCCGCAGCCCGCGAAATTACGGCCCCGATACGTGGGACCATTTCGGATCATCCAGATGGTGACACCTGTCACCGCGAAGCTGCTGCTGCCCGACGATTGGAAAATCGATGACGCATTCCACGTCAGTCTGCTGCGTCATTACGAACAGCCGCACTCGCCAGCTGTTGCTCGGCAAGCCATCGCGCCGACCACCCGCCCAGTAGCAGAACCCACGCTGGAGCCTTGGAAGATTCTCAATCATCGCGTGGATGTCACCTCCGCCGGCCGCTCGGTGAAATTCCTGCTTCGCTGGAAAGATCGCACGAGCGAAGACGACACGTATGTCGCCGCCGACTCGCTATTAGGCCATCCGGTTGTGGATGCTTACCTGGCCCGCCGAGGTGTCTCGGATATTCACCACCTTTCTTAAGGGGGGGGGTAGTGTAAGGAATTTTCTGAATTCCTTACTGGGTCACTCCGTACGCGTACAACCCCGACTTTCGGAAAACCAGGCTCGGTCCGCCGACCTCGCCTTCCGAGCCACTACCGCGTCGCCTTCGGGTTTTCCAACCCCGAACCTGCACCCAACCATCTCGCGACCCCGCGACCTCGGCCTAGCTAGGACTTGCTATATTGTGCCTAGGCCTCATTATTCATAATACGTTGTAATCACTTCCGCATTATTGAGTTTCTACGCACTCTTTCATACACAACTCATAACACAGCACGGGCGATTGTTACAAGTGCAATTTGAAGACAGTTTTTAACAACAGGAGGATATAGCCAAATGCTTTAGGAGTTGTGCAACTGTTTTCAAGATACAGCGTGGCGAAATCCTGCGAGCTAGTTAAACAACTGTTTTCTTCTTGCTCCTGCATGTGCGTAGAAGTTATATAAATGTGTGCTTGTACCTGTCGAAGTCAATCTAATGCATTCGCATTTTTCCTTCAAGCTCGCACTCTACTACTTCGTATTGACGAGAGTAGAAATAATACCTTGTTCTGCCGAAGTTGTTCTCGACCAGTTTGCTCGTCCTACAAGCTGAGCAAGGCATAACTACTCGCTTGCTATTTTCACACCCTTGGCTAGGAGGTGACAAGCTGTCACACTCGAAGGGTTGCAAGTGATGTTAAGTGTTGCCAAGTTAAGTTTGTAGTGAAAGCTTTAATCGCTTCCGCATAACGTTATAGCTGTTAACATAGAAGGCAATTGATTGCTAGCCATGCAATAAAAGCATCATCCCAGAGTTCGCAAGCAACCGAGCAAAAACGATTCACACGGCACGTATTGCGCCACCCAGCACGCAACCACTAAGGAAATCCACCGGTTCTTGCCAAGTCACTCCATTCAAGACCTCTTTCAAAACCCGTTGTCACTTTCTCCTCTCTTCCTCCCCCTGACCGTGCAGGGACCTTGAGAAGAACTCGTTCTCTGGAAGCATTCCGTCCTCTATGGGCAACATGGTAGAGCTCACGCACATGTATGCTCCCAGTCGACCACTACCGTGTATGCAGCATCGTGCTCTCAATGCTTCTCACTTCTCGTGTCCAGACTGCCTTGTTTTGTTGGCTCAAGAGGCTTGCTGCATACCGATACAATTGCCTCAAAATAAGGCCTATATACTTGCTGGACCCTGTTTTGTGCTACTTCAGTTTCATTTTCTTTGTGCCACACGTACCTCTTCTTTGCTGGCGAGTGCAGGGTGATATCTTTCAACCAGCTGAGTGGCCCCATCCCCGACTCCTTCAGCCGCCTGCACAACCTCACTGAACTGTGAGATACTCCTCTCCATCCCTGCACAGCTGCACGTCTTGCTGATGTCCTTCGAGGTCGCTTGATGAATCTCTTTGCCTCTCTAAAATCGTGGCATTTGGTAGTGCAAAGATGCACACGCAATCACATCACAAAGCATTGGTCACCAAACCTAAGCAAGGCCAGAGGTCACAATCATTGCCGCACCGCAACATTGCAACATCGGAATATGGTCCCCCCCTCAAAACTTCCCCTCTGTTGATTATTCCTCCTTTTCCCAATTGTCGCTTGCAGCAACTTGAATAGGAATCAGCTGACAGGGTCCATCCCTGAGTGGTTTGGAACTCTTTCTTCTCTGAAGTCTCTGTGAGTTTCATCACGCCAAGCCAACTCGCACCATGTGAGTGCATCTGCATTATCAAGTACCATGTGCAGTCGATGCGATGCGAAGGATATTCATAGCATAGCCCCCCCACGTTCACAGGTTGTGACTAGTCACACACAGATTGTGGTTCATGGTGCTGAGACGATGTGCGTGGTGTGTGTGTGACGATATGTATGGCGCCTTGGCAGGTGGCTGCAGTACAATGCACTGAGCGGGTCCATTCCAGCCTCTCTGGCATTGCAGCAGCAGCTCAATCTCCTGTAATCATCTTTTTTGCAACGTTCCCATCCATGTTTCGCTCGCATCACACCACCATGCTCATTAATCTCTTGAAGGTGGAAGGTGAAGTCAAAGACGGGTTTTCTGAGTTGGCTTGGCCAACAGTGTTGAAGGGCAGGCAGATAATTGCTGGTTGGGTTGACAAACACTATTGGTTGTCCAATAAGTACTGCTTGAGAACTAACGTTGAATTAAGAGTTGTTTAGGGCCGAAGTTTTGATTTGGGGGCTTTAACAACAAAGGGAATGAAACTCAACCCAACGCCTACAGACAACATGTTTCACAAGCCAATCCATTTCACACCATTCTCTTCTCAGAACACTCTCTGCCAACCATCTCTCAGGAAGCATACCTGCAGTGCTGGGCGATCTTCTGAGGTTGCAGTACCTGTGAGTCACGAGGGCCTATTGTTACGAAGCGCAGCATGTTTCCATTCATCTCTAGTCCTTAGCCATGCTTTCCCAAGTGGTTGACGTCAAGCCTTTGGTGCGAACTCACCTAGCATATCAGGACCTGATAAAGTGTCTGCATAGAATAGAACCACCTATCCACCCCATTCATCATTTCACCGCATTCAACATTTCACCGCATTCATCGATTCACCCTAATCATTGTGCCACCCCATCCATTGTTTCATTCATCCAATGTTTCATCTCATCCATTGTTTCATTCATCCAATGTTTCATCTCATCCATTGTTTCATCTCATCCATTGTTTCATCTCATCCAATGTTTCATCTCATCCAATGTTTCATCCCAACCATTGTTTCATCTCATCCATTGTTTCATCTCATCCATTGTTTCATCTCATCCAATGTTTCATCTCATCTATTGTTTCATCTCACCCACCCACTGTTTCACTCCATCCACCCACCCACTCACAAGCATTCATATTTGGCTCTTTTGCGGGTGGCAGATGGCTTTCAAGTAACCAGCTATCCGGTTCCGTTCCGACAGCCATCGGGAAACTCACCAACCTGCTGCAATTGTGCGCACAATTACAACACAGCTTCAATTCAGGCGAATCCATTTGACTCGAGCATCGCTGTAACTTGCATCCTGCGATGTGCAGTGCCAGCATCGTGTGTCAATGCGTGCATTTGAGGGGACATGTTGACTCTGCTGCATGCATGGATGTGATGTGCCTGTGATGTGCGTGTGATGTGTTTCTTTTGATTCACTTGAAGCGTTTGAACAATATTTATTGTCGAGATTGTTAAGCTCAATTTCTGTACGGGTGCGTGTGATGTGCGTGTGATGTGCGCGTGATGTGCGTTTGATGTGCGTGTGATGTGCGTGTGATGTGCGTGTGATGTGCGTGTGATGTGCGTGTGATGTGCGTGTGATGTGCGTGTGATGTGCGTGTGATGTGCGTGTGATGTGCGTGTGATGTGCGGCGTGTGATGTGCATGGACCAAGCAGGGACTTCTTTGGCAACCAGTTGCAGGGGACTCTCCCCAGCACCCTACAGAGCCTCTCCAAGCTGCAATTTTTGTACATGACTTAAAACCACTACTTTAACCACTATCCCTCTCCAGTGTTTCTGCTTAAAGAAGTTTATGTGATGCATAGTAAAACTTTCCTCTTGATCGTTTGCGATGGTTTCCATTCCGTAGCACACCAGTTCTCCTGCCTTGGACTAATCTAAATCCTGTCTTCATGCAAATCCGATATATGTTGTGCATGGAGAGCCTCCGTGGCTCTTGGTTGGTGGCACTACGTTTTAGAATGGTCGGCACCTTCTGGAATGAACCACCACGCACTGTGCTGTGCACATGCTCACGTGTGTCGATCCGTGCACCCTGCTCTCAGTTCTCTGTCATTCAACCAGCTGTCGGGCCCAGTGGAGCCCATCACACGAGACATGAAGAGCGTCAATTCATTGTGGGTATCACCACACACCCATGCATGCGTGCATGGCTCTGTCATGCCCTCCACGTGACCATTCTTAACCCAAGATTTCACGACAGGCATGCGCTGATGCCGCCTTGCTTGACTGCCTGTGCGCCGCTGCTGCCTTGGCATGGCAGGTACCTCAGCAACAACCAGTTCTCTGGGCGCCTGCCCAGCCCTGCAGCAGCAGGCGTGCAGGCATACATTGTTTACGAGAACTTCTTCTCACACGGGCGGGTCAAGTTCAGCAACTGCTCTGCGGTCACATGGAACACGTATTCAAACTGCCTCACGCCTTACAATGGCATCTGCGGCCTTGTCTACCCCCAGAGGTCTGCTGCCGACTGTGCTGCGTTCTGTGGGCTACAGGTCGGCGCCACTGGCCCTCTGTGTGGGGGCCATGGCTACTGCTCTCGGAATGCCTTCACTGGAGCAGGGGAGTGTGTGTGCGATCCCAACTACATGGTCAGCAGCACCAACTCCAACATCTGTGTGCCTGGACGTAAGTGCCTGCAACCAATCGCTCCTGAACAGCTGACGCCATGGTACTTTTTTCCATTATCTAGAAGCCGTTTCATCAACCTTCCAAAAGTCCCTTCCACCCGTTGCTTCTGCCCCCCTTTCCTCCAGCTGCGCACACATCGCTGGCATCGGCCTTGGCGTACGTCTCCCTTGGGGGCTCTGCCTCGCTGCTTTCCAACGGCTCCATTCTGCTCACCAGCGGCGCTGCCAGCCAGCAAGGCTCTGCCTTCGCGTCGCCTGCCATGCGCCTCTTCTACATTCCTGACAAGCGCTCTCCCTGCGGCACCCAGCTGGGCTTCCGAGTTGCCTTCAGCTTCGCAATGATCCCCGGGGATCAGGGGGCGGGTGGGGAAGGCCTTGCGTTTGTGGTGGCAGCAGCTGCTGCTTCGGGCAAGGGGACAAGCGTGGGGCTGGGAGGGGTGGGGAAGCGGAGTGTGGCGGTGGAGTTTGACTCGGTGCTGAGTGTGAAGCACAGCGACCCCAACGACAACCACGTGGGCGTCAATGTGGGCGGCTCACCTGTGTCCCTCGCCTCTGCCACGGCCCCTCTCATCCTCAACGACGCCCACACCAAGCACGCCTGGATCCACTACGACCCCACCAGCGCCGGCACCCTCCGAGTCTTCCTCTCCTCCGACCCCCACCAGCCCCCCACCCCGACCCTCACAGCAAGCGTGTCTCTCTGCTCCGTGCTCAAGCCCACTGCATCCGACTCTCTCTTCCTCTTCGGCTTTGTCGCCCTCTCAGGCAGCCAGCCTCAAAGCCATGCCGTTTTGACCTGGAACTTCATCACAGGTAGGCTTCATTTTGACCTTGCACTGCACCGTATCCTGCCCCAGCTGTTTCTGGCTGTAACATTCATCTTTCCTCTACCTTTTGTACTTTCCAATCTATATTCGTTTGCCTAGAGTCTCCCTTGCATTCGTGAGCAGATATTCCCTCTTCTCTGTAAAGCAGTGGACACATTACCATTGCAGCATCGCTCCAGGGGGCTGTAAATCTGGGGAGTCTTGAGGCGTTGTTGCTGCCCAATATTGATAACTCTATGTACATTGTGTATGTAGGGAGCAAAGTTGTATTAGGGTCAGATGCTGCAACTTCCAATTCGGGCCTTGTTTGCACTTGGCGTGCAAATCTTCACCCCAGGTCTTAACTTGTCCACACATTCATACCCATTCATCCGCCTGTAGCAGCCCTTGATGCTGTAGAAGTACTTGACGTTGATGTACTTGCAGTCATCCCCCGGTGAGATGGTGTAGGTGCTGGTCCTGGAACAGACGCCCGCTGTGAAGTTGGTCACACTGCCAATGCACACCTGCAGGCACAAGGGAGGTGGTGTGTGGGGCGGAAAAGACAATGCAGGGAAGAGGGCCAGCAGGGAGCAAGGGTCACTTGAAGCAAAAAGGTGCGATGCATCGAATGCGCGAAGGACACACATTGCAGAATCACTAACAAAGGCCTCAACTCAGCTCAGCATCACACTGCATGCACCACAGTGACTAACCTCAGCGCCAAAGGTGGTGGTGGAGTGGGAGTAGTTCTTAACGGGGATGAGCTGGTTGCAGTTGACGCCGGGGTTGAGGCGGTAGAAGGCCACGGGGCTGAGAGGAGGCTCCGCCAGCTGCCTGATGCTGTCGCACGTGTCGCTGACGCGCGCCCGGTAGTACTGGTCGCACACCACCGTCACATTCGCCTTGGCGGGGTCCCTCTCCAGGCACACGGCCTGGGAGGGGCTGAGGGAGGAGCAGTTGACAGCGGGGTTGAGCGCCTGAAATGCCGCCCCACACTCCGCATCCGACGCCGCCGCCCCACACAGCTCCACCTGCCGTGCCACCCCCGTGCACGTGTCGCCCTGGGGACACATGGAGAGAGGGAAAGGAATTTGAAGATGTAAAGGCCAATACCGAGTGGCTGGCACATACATTCCGTATGCAGGATGGTTCAACCATGGTACATTAGAACAGAAGATGCACGTTGGCCATGAAGCATGAAACAGACTGCAGCTTAGACTGCAGCTTCGCACTCTGTTTGTTGTGATCAGTGCTCTGTGTGAAGACACAGCAGCAACTGTCAGCGAAACAATCCCCTTATCAAGGTGGTTTAAACTCTGTGCATATCAAAAATGGAAATTCACATTGGCCGTGAGGCGCGAAGCAGTGCGATGGAGGACTGGGGAGCCGCCTATGAATAAGCACTGATTGGAGCCCTTACGATCAGGGTGGTGTAGAAGACAGAGCAGGGTTGCACTGTGGAGTTGACAAGCAGGGTTGCGTTGAGGCGCAGAGGAGCCGAGCAGACGACGCCCTGAGAGAGAAATGTAGGGGATGATGGCACATGCAGGGATGATGGCACATGCAGGGATGATGGTCGGACTATCACAACCATGTGTTATGCTGGAAGACAGGAACATCAAGAATACTCGCACTGTCCTGCTTGAAACCAATGCGGCACGCAAGCATGTGCAGCAGGCGGGCGGTGGGGGTACCTTGTTCTGCTGCGTGAACTGGTCGATTGTGAGGGCGAATATGGGATGCACATGGGAGCACCACACGTTGCTCTGCTGCACCGTGTACACCCCCCCTGCATCCCCTGCACGTTAACACCACCCACAATTGGTATGCAGCACAGGTGAGTGGGATGCGAGCAGAATAAGAAGGAAGCATGTGTGGTCAACTGCTCCATGCATGGCGGCCAGTTGGTGCTTCACAAGTGGTACTAGGGGAAGTGGTTACCAGAAAGAATTTGATATGTTACCTGGTGTGCTTCATTCCCCAGAACACACAAGGAGAGAGCAAGTTTAGCAGGAGGTAAGGTGTTACCCGGAGCACAGGAGGAGAGCAGCAGAGGGGTGTTACCCGGAGCACAGGAGGAGAGCAGCAGAGGGGTGTTACCCGGAGCACAGGAGGAGAGCAGCAGAGGGGTGTTACCCGGAGCACAGGAGGCGGTGTTGGCGAGGGTGGTGCCCTGGATGAACCCCGGCGGACACACACAGGAGTAGCTGCCCTTGCCATCGTTCACACACGTGCCCACCACACACGGGTTGCGACTGCTGGACCCACACACGTCCACTGGGGGCAAGGATAGACGAGTGGGGACATGGGGGCATGCATGAACATGGGCAGAGTGCATCAGGATGTGCATGGAGAGGGCATGATGTGTGCATGGGGAGGGCATGCTGTGTGCATGGGAGGAGGATATGGGTGCAGTGCAGGACAACACATTGGCCAGACATTGGCCAAGTGGAGGTTAACGACAAGCAAGCGGGGATGTGAATCTAGAAAAAAGGTGAACTCAACTGACACTCCGTACCAAATACTCTGTAAGGAGCAATGTAACACATTGCACAGCCACACAGTACCAATGTCCCCCCTGGTGCACCTTACCATAGGCACAGGTGTAGGAGCCATCGGTGTTCTTGACTTGAGCAAAGCGGGCGTCAGTGCACTTGCAGCGATTGCTGGTGCCCTTCCTGATGCAATCGTACCGCCCGCACGGGTTGAAGGTGGGGCCTTGAACGCTGTACTGGAAGGAGCGTGACCCACACGGATCAGCACTGCCTGCTCGACACATCCGGTGGAAATAAGGTGTGGGCACACGACGGACGTGGGTATGATAGATTCACCAGCTGTAAGCTCAGGGATACAAGAAACGTCAGGAAGAACCATCAGCCTTACTTCTGACGACGGGGAAGAGGCCCGGGAGAGTGTTGATGCCGCAGATGCCGTCGCCACTGCGAATGTCCATGCGCATGTGGCCCTGGTCGCCCCAGGCTGTGCCCCATGAGTTGCGGATGATCCAGAAGGGCGGCGGCACGGCGGAGTTGGAGGGGTCGGAGCCCGCAGAGAGGTAGCCCACCACCAGCACCACGTGGTTCAGGTGGTTGCTGAAACACTCCTCGTCCGCGTACTTGCCTCTCTGCCCACACACACATGACCACAGTACATGTGGAAACAGGACATACAACAAAAGGAAGCAGGAAAGAAATATTTGAAAATTTGACATGAGCATTATTGAACACACCTTTACCTCTCTGCTCGCACACACACATGGTCAACGATCAACACTGGAATTGAAGTGAGTCGAACCGGAAAGGTGGGGCCGGTGGTAATGGCGGCATGTCTACTAGCCCGCCGCGAGTTCTTCTAGGTAGGGCTGGCGACGGTTCATCCACTCCTGCGTCATGCTTTGTGGGTGGACGCAGGTGCATGCCCATGCCGACATCCGCACACACATGTGGGTAGTCTTGAAAGGAGTGCATGGGGGGGTTGAGTCGTCTAGATCCAGTGCGGTGTAAAGCGGTAAGTGGCGGCGAACGTGTGCTTTCCTCACTCACAGACAGTGGAAAAATCGCATCGACCAACGAAGTTGCCGATATGTGCAGATAGGCTAGCGAAATCGAAGATCTGCACAAGTCGGGGTGCAAAATCACTGATTTGCACAGGTAGGATAGCAAAATCGACGATCTGCGCTGATCGGCGGGCAAAATTGCGGAGAATCACCCTACAATGGGAGTCGACTACGGAGGAGGGTACGGGGTTGTGGGGGTGATTGTAGCGTTGTACTAGTGTTAAAACTACTTAGGCATGGGCATTTGACCCGGACGGGTCGGGTAACCCAGGCCGGGTCGGGTCAGGTGTACTGAGCCGACCCGGGCGGGTCGGGCCGGGCCTACCCGTCCGTGTCGGGTCGACCCGTGACCCGTCAGGGCATTTTTTCACAGGTACCCTTGACCCGTCGGGTCGGGTCGACCCGTGACCCGAAATCGGGTTAAGATACAGAGATCGTAAGATAGACTGCAATAGATTTGCACGAATGGCTCTTCATCGGGCTGGCAAGCATGAGGCATGATAGCTATAGTGTAGGAGGAGGCGTAGGAGAGATCGTGGATAGGAAAACCTAGGTCGAAGTTGGAATTCGTACTCCACAGTCGCCAATTTTCTGCACAATGTTGTCTCCAACCAATTTCCCCTCCCATCACCTATCTTCACCGCATTGCATCTAGATCATCCAACCAATTTGAGATTTGAAGGCTGGACAGTCGTCACTTCCAGATCTACAACAAAGTTGATCGAGGGAGTCTCCCCCCCTTCCCTTCTGCGGGAAATACCTTGGATCCGCGTTTCCGCGCGTTACCTGCGGGAAATTCGCGAATCCGCGCGGATCTGCGGCGAGATTGCCGATTTGCGCATATCTGCAAGGAAAATCGCCAATCCGCGCAGTTCGTCGGGGGAAATCGCCGATCCGCGCAGTTCGTCGGAGGAAATCGCCGATCCGCGTGGTTCGTCGGGGGAAATCGCCAATCCGCGGGGATGGCGAATTTTTCTTGGGTATTATTACCAGACCCGACCCGACCCGAAGTTACACTACCCGAGGACGGATCACAGAGACCCGTGCCCCCTATGGCGGGTCGGGTACCCTAAATTTGGCCTATCTTGACCCGCCGACCTGACCCGACCCGACCCGAACCCGTCGCGGGTCGACCTTGACGGGACGGGTCGGGACGGGTCGGGTCAAATGCCCATGTCGAAAACTACTGGCTATGTTCACAGAAAATTTTGGAAAGAGTTTCATTAGGAGATTTAGAATAAAAATGAGAATAGAGTACAAGACGATGCATGCAAAGTCAATATGACTAAAATGGCACTGCAACACCTAGCAAGCACTCTGGAAGGCAATTGTCAGCGCAACATCAGAGCCGCTCATCAACGTGGCAGCAAGGGGCCTGCCAGCGTAGCAGAAGGGTGAAGTGCCAACGCTGTAGCAGGGCGGCCTGTCAACGCTGCATCCGCAGGTGAATATCTGCGCACATGTGCGCACCTACCAAGTAGGTGCAGGTCGACGGTTACACTGTCAGGCACATTGCGCAGGTGCCAGGTAGAAAACGTGTTGACGGTTTCGCTAGGTGTCCACCGTCGAGCATGTGACGCTCTTCCACAGGTCGACTTTCGCCAAAAAAATCTTGGGCGAAATTCGCATGTTCTAGCAGAGTTTCACAGTTGCGCGAATTTGGTTGACCAGTTCGCCGAGGCAAGATTGGCCGAACAGCGCCCCTCATTCAGAGAACAAAACTCGTCGAAAAGCACCCCGTTTGTCAGAGTTCGCGCGACTCACTAGCCGATAAGAGGACGAGCTTGTCGAACGACACCTCGACGATCATAGCTCGTCGATGGGCTAGCCGACCAGAGGACGGCGTCATCGAAAACCAACCCTCATTTCAGAGGAAAGGCTGGTCGACGATTTCTACCGTCTTAACCCAAGAGCAAATAAGACAATCACGTTGTCGAATTCACCAGGTCGTCGCAACACCTGCGCCCAAGCGAGGACGGGGCCTTTCGCTTCGACAAAAATCGATGATATGCACAGGGGGCGGGCAAAATTGGGTTTCCATACCCGTCTCGACCCGGGGGCGGGTCAAATCTGACCTGGTACCTGAAACTCGGGCCGGGTCAGAAATCCTAGTAAGTAAAACCCGACCCGATGCGACCCGAAACCTGGCTAGCCCGCCCAAGTCGGGTCGGGTTGCGTCGGATCGGGCCGTTTGACCATGCCTACTTGGAAGGAGGGTGATTTACACCATCGCAGTTTTGGAATGAGAGTGGCTTACCCCATCGTAGTCTTGGAAGGAGGGTGCGGATGCCTCGATATGCACAATGACAGGCTGGCGCTGCACTGCCAGCATGAGTCCAAACCACCCATAGAACCCCGTGCGCTCGATGCCCCGGATGCCATAGTACTTGGTGCTCGCCTATAGGCAGGAACGAGGAAAATGGAGAAAGGCAGTGATTAGGGACAAAAGAATCATGCATCAGAACATCGTAACGACGATCCACCAACAGGAGTTATTAGCAGCAACACAAAAAAAATAAGATTCATCCCATACCACAAATAGCAGATGAACTCACTAGCGATCTTCTTTGAAGAGCCATTTGCTGGGAGTACACTGCATGCTCCACCAAGCCCTTGCCCTGGGCAGTGGCGTTGAGGAGGAACTGCAGCGCCTTGGTGGGCGAGCCACCGTCGCAGTTGGAGGAGAGGGCGAGGCGCAGCTGGTCCACCGACAGCACGGGGGGCTGCGGCGAGTTGTTCGCAATTCTGTGGGCTGCCTCCACCGCCGCCACCACTGCGTATGCCCAACAATCGCCTGCGTGGCATGAAAGTTACCGCAATGGGATGGGATTCGTGCACTCTTGTGTGATCTTAGCGTAATGGTTGCTAGCTGAGTGTTGTCAAGAGAGTTTTACAAGAGTGCTCAAGACACATGCACAACAAGGTACGTGAAGTCCTTTCTTATGTGCTCACTCCCACCCACTAACTTGGTTGATACGCAACAAACGGTGTGCAAATGTTCTCAGGAAGCATAGGAAGGACATGGTGCATGTTGATAAGTGTCTAATAATGAGTAGAATTGATTGATCTAGATCGTGGAGATATTGGATGGATAGGGTTGGATAAGGATAACTAGGTTGGGGATGAAAAGTCTACACCCAACTCAACCAACTCACTAAAGTTGTAACCTAAAATCCAAAGACCACCTACTCAGATGCAGCCTAAATCAAACAAAAGTATGATAATTAACCTTTATCCATCGATGGTTGCATGTGGCCCATTTGGTCCTCTCATCTCAAGAACCCCCTCCACTCCCTTGCTCAATATGTCAAGTCACGACTCTAATCTATATCTTGCAGCTATTGCGCTGTTCATGCTATGCAACCATATGACTCACCGCAACCCCTTTGGTTCTTCACAGGCCAGGTGGATTCAGGCAAGACCCAGGTGCTGTAGGACTTGACAGTCCAGGCGGGGCTGTTGTCCTGCGCGGGGTCGAAGCCCGCACTGGCGTAGTGGAAGGCGGCGTTGAAGCCCTGCGATGAGAAGGAGTCCTCGTCCAACACAAACCCCAACGCCAAGTCTGGTGGGTGGAGGAAGGAGTGTTGAGATTTTGGAGAAGGAAAAACTGCTGGGAGTTGGGAGAAGAAGTCAAAATGAAGAATTGGGGAGAACTCAATGATCAAAATAGACTCACACATGGTGAGAAAGAAAAAGGCAAGCATACTCACTTGAAGGGTCGAAGCGCGGGTTGAGAGGAACATCTGCACCCACAACAGACAACCACAATGGCGGAGTGGTACGAACGCAAGCATTAACAAAAGGCCTTGATGACGTGTGCATATATGGAGCCTCATTTCCTACTTTACCAAGGTTAACTTGCCTTGACCTCAAACTTTGAGGTGCTGCTGCTAGTCTCAAAAGTTCAACCATACACATATGGCTTCACTGCGGAGATAACTCTAGTAACGGGAGCTAGGCTGCGGGCTAGGCACGTGTGCTCGTGTGATCTCTGCGTTCTCTGTTCCTTAGTCGTTTTCCTAGTGCATACACTCCTTGCTAGTTCACGGGGCAATTTGGCAAGAGTTTCACTAGAGAAAGTTGACAACAATGATACAATGAAGTTGGCTAGGAAAGACTACATCAGAGCTAGGATGCAAGCAGGTCGACTGCCAGCGCAGCACGGTCGACCGCGTGCCAGCACGACTTGGTCGACCGCGCTCCAGCAGTGCAGAGACGCGGCTTGCCAACGCTGTAGGTCGACGGCGTGACAACCGTGCAAGTCGACGGCATGCCAGCGTTGCTCCTGCAGTCCAGCAGCGCACCAGCTTCGCAGGTGCTCGTAGGCGATTGGCGCGCACTGCTTCGTCACCTGCACAGCGCACGCACCAAGTCCACCTCGTGCTGACGACCGCACCTCATCCGCCAGGTCGACCTCGGGATACCACCACCGAGGTCGTCCTCGCCAACTTCGCCTGAGCGACCTTCGCGTGCCTTCGCAGACCCTCGTCACCCAGGTAACATGGTCGACCAGGCAACCAGGTCGACCAGCCGTTCCCGTGCGTGCCCGTCGACCTCCCAAGTCGACGACCACTTTCGGTCGACCTCCCCAGGTCGACCACTACTCCCTGGTCGACCAGATCTAGGTCGACGTCACTCCTGGTCGACGTCCCAGGCCGACCAGAAGAGATTGGTCGACTTCCCAGGTCGACCAAAAGGGCTGGTCGACTTCCCAGGTCGACCAGCCAAAGGTGGCGCCCTCCTGAAGTCGGCGCCCATGCAGTGGCTCCCCGTGCAGGTCGACCAACCTCGTCGACCAACTCGCCCACTGCTGCAGGTCGGCTGCACCCTACACCCGACCACGAAGTCGGCTCCGCCCAAGCGAGGACGGGGCCAACACCCAACTCCCGTTGACACTCCCCTGCCGCGTTCACGCTTGGGCCCCCAGCCCACACGACAGGACTTCTCGGAGAACAGCTCGTCGACGTGCACCCAACACACAGCACGTCGTCCACCGCACCAGCCATGCAAAAGGGCATGGCACCTACTGCTGCACTTCGTCAACTTCGATAGCGACAGAGCACCGGTTGAAAGCCGGATAGTGCAGCGCCTTCGTGAGGAAGTCGGCTGGCTGCTCAGCGGTCGGGATGTACTGCAGCGCAAACTTCCCCCGCTTCACCATGTGCTGCAGCCAGGCCTGTCGCCGCTCCATGTGCTTGAGGTTGCCTGTCAACCCCATGCCCTCGGCGACCGTGATGGCCGACTTGTTGTCCACCCTCAGGACCGTCGGCTTCCCAGCATCCAGCTGCTGGAACTCTGCGAGGAGGAAGCGAAGTCGGCGTCCCTCCTTGCCGGCTTCGACGGCCGCCACGTACTCCGACTCGGTCGACGACAGCGTCGCGCACTTGATGCGCTGGCTCGACCAGGAGACCGCGGCCCCTCCGTAGACGAACACGTAGCCGCCCGTGCTCGTCCTGCTCTGCTTGTCACCGGCGTCGTCGGCGTCCACGTAGCCGACCAGCTCCAGCGACTCAGGTCCACCGCCAAACTCAAGGGCGGTGTCGCGCGTGTTGGCGAGGTAGGCGAGGCAGCGGTCGACCTCGCGCCAGTGCTGGTCGCTCCTCACCGTGAGGCCGCTCCCCAGCTTGCTGCAGGCGAAGGCGATGTCCGGCCTCGTCGTCGTCGCCGCGAACTGCAGCGAGCCGACCTTCTGCCGGTACTCCTCCTCCTGTCGCTCCTGTGCCTCCTCGTCGTCAAAGGTGAGCTCGGCGTAGGCGTCGACCGAGACCGGCGTCTTCGGAGTCCGTCCGCCCTGCTCCTCGTCGATGAAGCGCCTACGCAGCTTGTCGGCGTAGCCCTGCTGGTGCAGCCACAGCTTCCCCGCCGACCTGTCGCGCACGATCTCCAGCCCGAGGTACTTCTGCACCGGCGAGATCTCGCGCAGCTCGAAGGCGGCCTCCAGTAGCTCCTTCAGCATCGCGGGGCTGCTGCTGGCGGCGAGCAAGTCGTCGACGTAGACCAGCACCCAGCAAGTCGCCCCGTCGTCGCCGACCTTGAAGTAGAGAGCCTCGTCGACCTGGCTCTTCTTCCACCCAGCGTCGACCAGCACGTCGTTGAGCGCCAAGTACCACAGCAGCGGCGACTGCTTCAGCCCGTACAGGCTCTTCAGCAGCTTGCACACCCGGCCGGTTCCGTCGTTGAAGTAGTCCGGCTGCGACATGTACAGCACCCGGTCGAGCTTGCTCTGTAGGAAGGCGTTCTTCATGTCGAGCTGCATCAAGTTGAGGTTGAGCACGGCGACGATGCTGAGGAAGATCCTCAGCGTCACGTAGCTCCCCACCGGCGCGAACGTCTCGTCGTAGTCGGCGCCGTACACCTGCGTGAAGCCCTTCACGACCAGCCTCGCCTTCTCGCGCTCGACGGTGTCGTCGATGTGGTACTTCGTCGTCAGCACCCACCGGTTCTTCATGACGTTCACTCCCGGCGGGCGTTCGACCAGCTCCCACGTGCCCATGGCGAGGAGACTACGGATCTCCTCCTCCATGGCGGCCTTCACCGCCGGGCCCTTCCAGCTTGCCAACGCCTCCTTCACCGTCATCGTCGAGATGTCCCAACGGTGGTCGGGGTCGGCCAGCATGTCGGGGTCGAGCTCCGGAAACTCCTCGTCCTCGTCGGCGTCGTCGTACAGGATGTCGTCGTCGTCCTCCACGTCGTACACCGTGGTGAAGGCAGCGGGGATGAAGATGTCGGGCATCCTTCGCAGTCGACCAGACTTCCGGGGTTCAGGAGGGACCACCACCACGTCCCGGTCGGTGGACTGGTCGACCACCTTCTGGTCGACCGGCTCCTCGTCGCCCAACTGCTCCCCTTCATCTTCACCGCCGTCCTCGTCGTCCTGCTGCACTTCGGTCGGCGTCCCGACCGACTTCTCCCCTGCGGTCAGCTCCCCTGTCGACCGCCAGGTCGCCGACTGCTCCTTGGTCGGCCTTGCTGCTGCCTGCTCCCCTGTGGGCTTCACCCAAGTCGGCTGCACCTCCTCGACCTGCTCCCCTGTCGACTTCACCCCTAGGTCGACCTGCTGCTCGTCGACTTGCTGCGCGTCCTGTCGGCCACCGGTGATGCCCTTGGTCGGCGCCACAGGCGACGTCCCACTGCTCCCCTCATCGCCGGAGGCCGACGGCGGATTCAGCTCACGCCGGTCGACGAGAGGAGGAGCAGGGGAGGGGGAGGAAGGGTGGACGACCTCGGCGTCGTCCTCAGCAAGTTCACCGACCTCGGCGAGCAGAGGGAGCGTTGCCGTCGAGGTATCCGTCGGCGTTTTCATCAGTGTCCGCCCTGACACTGGCCCATGCTCCGACTTCCACTCCTCCAGCGACAGATCCTCGTAGAACACCACGTCCGACGTGGTGACCACCCGGTTGTCGGCGATGTCGAGGAGCTCCCAGCCCTTGCTCGCCTCCGACACGCCGAGATGAAGGCCCCACTTGGCCTTCGGCTTCAGCTTGCCACCCCGCTGCTGCTCGGGGACGAGGAACTGCGCCATGCAGCCCCACACGCGCGCCAGCGACAAGTCGGGCTTCGTCCCGGTCAGCAGCTGGTATGGCGTCGTCCCCGGCGTCGCCGACCGCTCGAGGCAGTTGCGGATCCAGACGGCCTGCCGCAGAGCGAGGTGCCACCAGTGGTGCTGCACGCCCATGTGCAGCAGCATCGTCCTCACCGACTCCACCACCGTCCGCATCTCCCGCTCCGCCATGCCGTTCTGCTGCGGGGTGTACGGGCAGGTCAAGTCGTGGACGATCCCCTTTCCGTCCACGAAGTCGGTGAACGTCTTCCCGAGGAACTCCCCGCCTCGGTCCGAGCGCAGCATCAGCACCGACTTCTTCGTCTGCCGCTCCACCAGCACCAGCCACTTCTGGAACTCCAGCAGCACATCCGACTTCTTGGCGACCGGCCTCACCCACACGTAGCGGGACTGACGGTCCTTCAGCAGCAAGAAGTAGAGGCTGCCATCCTTGGCAGCCACCCGGAATGGCCCACACAGGTCGATGTGGACGACGGCTAGCACGTCGGCGGCGTCGGAGCCTTGGTCGGGGAAGGTGTGCCGCGCCAGCTTCCCGCCGACGCACGAGACACACGGTGGGTCGGCGCCCGTCGCCGACTTGAGGTCCAGCCCAATGGCGACCTCGTTCTTCGCCGAGCTCCTGATGGTGTCCATGCCGACGTGCGCAAGGCGTGCGTGCATCCTGTCCGGCGTCGACTTCGCCTTGGAGACGATCGCCCGCAGGGCCACAACCTCCGGCGTGGGCGACGTCGACCTCGGTGAGCAGGGACGCAGGTCGGTGCAGAGGACTCGCCCGGAGTACGTCGCCCGACCAAGCACCTCTCCCGCTGCCGAGATGAGCAACACACCATCGCCGTCCTCCCGAAACTTCACGCCATGCTCCTTCAGCTGGCCGGACGACAGCAGGTTGGCCCGCACACCCGGGACGTACAACACGTCGGGGATGAGAACCTGCTTCCCGGCCTCGCCTTGCAAGGCGACCGTGCCCCGGCCTTGGACGTCTTGCAGCGCCCCATTGAAGCCACGCACGTGCTTCAAGTCGCCGCTCGGCCCCAGGTCGACGAAGGCGTCCTTGGCCCCCATCAGGTGGTGGGAGCAGCCGCTGTCCAGCAAGACCACCGCCGGGTTCGCCTGCACTGC